TGTTGCCAGCCTTGTTAAGCGAGACACTTCAACATTTCGTTGTGCTCAGGTGCGTATGTTGTTTTCTGTTTAGTAGATGCTGTGATAAATGCATTTTATAATGCTTGATATTCTTATATTAGGATGACGCAGTGGGTAGTGCTGTCACCTTACAGCAAGAAGGTCGCTGGTTCGAGCCTCGGCTGGGTCAGTTGGCATTTGTGTGAGGAGTTTGCATATTCTTCCAGTGTTCGTGAGGGTTTCCTCCAAGTGCTCCGGTTTCCCCACAAGTCCAAAGACATGCGCTATAGCTGAATTTGGTAAGCTTATTTGTCTGTAGAGTATAAATGTGTGTGTGAATGAGTGTGTCTGGATGTTTCGTAAGACTGGGTTGCAGCTAGAAGGGCATCTGCTGCATAAAACATATGCTGGATAAGTTGGTGGTTCATTCCACTGTGGCGACCCCAGATTAATAAAGGGACTAAGCCGAAAAGAAATTGAATGAATGAATAAAATTTATATTAGTCTTTTAATCTGTGATACTTTTTTTTTTTTTTAATCAGTGAATATTAATTATTTTACTTTCTATGCATGTTGATTTTCTCTTCATCAGTGATAGAGTGACTGATATTAATGTAATTATTGCTTTGTCATTTACAGTGAACCATCTTCACCACATCCAACAGTTCAAGTACAGGAGGAGGCCTCCGACTGGACAACTGTGTTAACAAGACAAGTCACGGCAGTCTTCAGAGTTGATGGGATTGCGATTGGCTGGGCTAATGATGTGGACGAATATACATTTTTGACATATCCATCTTATTAGAAGAACACCTTGATGTTTCTGCAGTGGAATGTTTTGAATGAACGGTGGACGGTGACGAGCCTCGATCTACTCCAGTTACCAGAGTGATCAACCTTGTTTTTTGTTTCTCTACATGCTCTTGGGATAATCCCAATCATCAAGTTAATCCAGCACACTGCTCTCATTCATGCATAAAGCAAATTTTTAAATAACTTGTGGTCCTAATGACTATCAAAGAACATTTTCCAGATATGAGTGCCTTACATGTCATGTTTATCAAAAGCATAAACACATATTGTGTTACAACAAATTACAACTCCACTTGAGGATGATGAGGAGTAATCTACTGATGTTGAGGAAGAGGCTACTGATGTATGGTTTTCTGCACTGTTGAAGCAATTTATAGAGAAAGTTTGCCTTCATTCTGAAATTCAGAGAAAATGTTGATGACAAATTATTTATTATGACCGAGTATTCTGACTAAAGACAAATACTTTGGACTTTATAAAGTGCAGTACTTGATGTAGCCTGTGTAATGTGTTTATAAATCTTAAACAGTATTCTTGTGGTCTTTGTATTAAGTGTAGATTATTTAGTTTTTATTCTTATCTAAATTGTTCTTTTTACTGTTTTACATGTCTGCTTTATACTTGCTGTGTAAATTTTATTTCTTAACATTCAGTCGTGAGTTGTAATGAAATATTTCTACATTAGTAAATAAAAATGGACATCTGTGAACCAAAATATTTTATTTATTTATTTGTGCATGCAGTCACCAAAGGATCAAAATGCCTGGGTCAGTACCCTGAAAATACTACATAATATAAAAATGTACATTTTTGTACCTTCAGTGTCTAGGGTACAAAATTGTCCCTTAAAGGGTACAAATGTAGAAGGTACAATTTTGTACCTTTAAATAGAGGTACAAATTTGTACCCTTAAGGGTACCACCCCAGTGACGGGCCATTTGTACCCTAAAAGGTACATTTTTGTACCTTTTTTTCTGAGAGTGTACATGTAAAAAGATTTTTATTACATATAATGTATTGCCTATAATAACTTGCTATTATTTACTTTATCATTAATTAATCTATTATATAAATCAAACCTGTCCAAATGATTGTTCAGCAAGGCCAGCAAACGAGTATCTGAGATATTATTGTCAGATAATAATGACTGATCAGCTATAATGACTGATTAAAAACTGTTCAGTCTATTCTATTGAATGGCGATCGAAAACAATGCTCCCCTTTCGGCTGTCTCAATTGCAATATTCGTGAAATAAAGTAAAGTAAACACTTGTTTTTTGTGTACAATATTTATTAATCATATATATCAAAATATATCGATGACGATGTTCAAAAAGACGTTAATAACAATAACATATGTAGTAACCATATATGGTTTGCCTAGATTGTGTGTCCTAGATTGTGTGTGCCTAAAACGTGTGTGGTTCTGCGGACATGAGAGGTATTTTGGGTTGTTTGAATGTCATCATTTTCCCAGTACTGGGTTGCGGCTGGAAGGACATCTGCTGTGCAAAACATATGCTGGAGAAGTTGGTGGTTCATTCCGCTGTGGCGACCCCTGTTTTATAGGGGGATTAAGCCAAAAAGAAAATAAATGAATGAATGTCTGAATGTTATCAAGGCATTTCTACTAGTAGGCCTACTTTTTCACATTTTTTAATTGAGGTGGACTCACAGCTCTCATCTCTTGACTATAGCAGCATAAAAATGTAAACATATGAATAATTCATTCCTGATAAAATTTATTAGGCATTCCTTCATCTAATGTTTTCTACTTTTTTCATTTTTTTTTAAATTGTGTTTTCTGTATTTTTTGCTGAACATTAATAAGTGTTTTTAACGGATTGCAGTACAGCAAATATGCTTTAAAATGATACGAGGGACTCTCTCATCTCCTCATATCTTTTATTGTTTGACATACAATTGTCTTTAAAATGTTCCTGAATATGTTTTATTGTCTATTCATTCTTTCATTAATTTTCCTTCAACTAAGTACCTTTATTAATCTGGGGTCACCACAGCAGAATCCACTGCCAACTTATCCAGCTTTACGCAGCGAATGCCCTTTCAGCTGCAACCCATCACTGGGAAACATCCATACACATTCATTCACACTCATACACACACTACGGCCAATTTATTTCAATCAAATTACCTATAGCGCATGTCTTTGGACTGTGGGGGAAACCGAAGCACCCAGAGGAAACCCACACGAACACAAGGAGAACATGCAAACTCCACACAGGAATGCCAACTGACCCATCTGGGACTCAAACCAGCGACTTTCTTGCTGTGGGTGACAGACTGCTAATGTCTGACTATTTCTCACTTCCCTTAGTCCACCCCCATTCAATAATCGGTTAGGAGTCAATGAATCAAAATCAATGAATTCATTTATCGAGCATAAGTGAATAAAGCGAAGATCTGGATCCTGGGCTTTTGAAGAACTGTCAGCCAAGCAGTCTGGATGTCCAAAAGCTCTTGAACTCTTTGGTCTCCATCCTTTTGTCTATCAGCAGTGTCAGATCTCCTTGGCCACTCCTCAAAGCATTTACCCCAATCTCTGTTGTTGCCATCATCTGTTCTTAGGCAGAATCCTCTCTCAAAGGTCTATGTGGTCTGCACAGAGATACATACACACAGCAGAACAAAAGATGCTGCATCTGAGTGCTGCACATCTGCTTTTCCTCTTAGACCTGTCTATGAACTCTGGACCCATCTAAAGGAAGCCCACCTTTTCATTATCTCTGCAGCTCTGTCTCCAACCAACACCTACACAAAGCTTTCGTGGTTTAGCAGTTAGTTAGTAACACATCATAATTTGGGTTAAATAAAAATACGCTGGAAAAATGGTTAGACATCATCATATCTGACAAAAACACATATAGTAAATGAATAGTGAGGCAAATGGGAGTATAATCCTCTAATAACAAAAATACATCAAAAGAAAAGAGTCAATACTAAGACAATACAACTCTATTTTTCTCATCTGCTCCAGTCCTGCTTTCTGTATAGAAAAGTCACACATCACAGCTGCAACCCAGACAGGGACTTTCTGCAAGATTTGTTTGTTACAGATTTAGTTATTTGACAGTATAGGGGTGGAAAGTTCCTGTCTCATTCTGAGGTCAAACAGAATATCTCATCATAACACTGCATGGACTTATTAGATTATCATGGTTCAAGCAAGCACATATATGCATAATAAGCATGAGCACACACACACACACACACACACACACACACACACACACACACACACACACACACACACACACACACACACACACACACATACTGTATATATATAATTTAAAAGAAGCATTAGATTGTAATTTAAATCCTTCAATAACCACTGAGCCACCGTGTCGCCCAGTGTTTTTTATCATTATAAAAAAGAAATCTAGACAATTCAAGCGATTTTATATTAATATTATTAGTATAATGTTAAAGGTGTACATTTTAAAATTGTTCGTGCATTTTATAGCACAACAGTTTTACAGTTTTTTGTTGTTGTTTTACACCAGATACAAAATAAAACAGTATATTTTGCAATGCAGCAACCAAAAGTGAGGCTTTCATTATGTTTATCTCATTTGGTTTTAGTTTCCACTCCTTGATGCATTTATTGTTATTAAATATCAACTTGCAATGTTCATGCATAAACAAACACTTCTTCCAGAAACTTTGACATGACTTTGAATTGGAAAGATATCACATGAAGTTAGCTGTGTGTGACTTTATCTAATAGAAGTTGTTTAATTGTGCTGACATTTAAAGGTTTACAGATTTGGAAATGAAATACAGTATAAACACTGATACCATAGATGATTTATTTCACATTTAACTTTCATGTTTATCTTATGGTCAGAATATTTAGTGTGTTTTAATTTAAAGGGATAGGTCACTTAATTGCCATTTTTTCTGTTTTGCACAGTATTTTGATCAGTGTTGTAACCATTCACATGCATGTTATATGCTCAAGCAAACTTGCTAGTGAGAAAGTTTTATTTGTTATTGGAGCAAGTTAAGGTAAACCTTTTTAGAACTTATTGCAATTCTTTATACACAGCTCCTCTGTGTATAAAGAATAGTCAATATTTTGTGTTTTGTTCAAAAGATGAAAGGAACTCAAACAGGTTTGGAGCAAATCAAGGGTGAGTAAATGATGACAGAATTTTCATTGAGTGAGCAATCATTTTAATTTGTGTCTAACTAAACAGAAGGCTTGCATGAGCACTTGCTTGAAGTTATAGTTGACGTCTCTCCAGTTGCTCTCGCAAATCTGAAAACAAGAAATAAATGTTGAATAAATTCCAGTAAGTCCAGAAGACAACAATATAAGTTGCATGCTTTCTACTCAGTCTTTTAATAAAATTTTCAAGTATACAAAATATAATATTCATTCACATTAGATATTTGCTTTTTCTTTATTTACTTCATAATATAAAAGAACATTTTCTGGTTTGATTTAACATCATCCATGCATGCACTCAAATATATATATATATATATATATATATATATATATATATATATATATATATATATATATATATATAGTCAATATTAAAAATGTAATGACAAAAAAGGAAAATTTTTACTACCACTCGAAGATCTTCTTCCCATAAGTCCAACAAAGATTTCACCCTTGTTTCCTAAAAGCAAATGTTAAAGCTTAATTTATTAATACTGTGTGTACACAGACACACACACAGAGAGTGATAAAGAATACCTACTTCTCCTGCCAAGTCGCAAAGGTTGAGTATTGCCTTCGTAGAGAGAATACAATTATGTTAAAACTTAAAAACATAAATTAAACATACCTTTTTTTTAACCAGTCACATGTGTTTTGGAGCATATTATTACAGATGTTATGAATTTGTGGATTATTTACAAAAAAATAAAAAATAAATAAAAATGACATGTCTTTGAAGTGAAAAAAGTGAACAAACAGTACCTGCGCTGCTGCCCATTAATCCATGAAAATGCTGAGATTTGGATCGTTTCATCAGATCAGCAATGCGAAGGAATACATCTGTCACCTGTGGCTTCTCCTGAAAGAAACGACAGCAGCATTTTTATTTACTTTTTTAAGATTATTGATTATTGATGAATAATAAATGACTGAATAATAAATTATTTCAACCTCCAAGTTCTCCACAGTCCAGATATCCCCCTCTTCACTGGGACTGGCTCCAGCATTGTGCAACTGCAAGTAAAGGATGAACGCTAAAGCAGAAAGTTTAAATATGTCCATTATTTCTATATGCTTTATATTTGTCTTTATTTGATATTACAGTTTAAAGAAAACACAGAACTGCTGTTTGCTCGAGATGCTTTTATAGAGACTTCAGCCATCGCTCCTCCCATTCACTCAGATTATTTATTACTCATGAATGCCAGAGTATATTCATTTTTGGTGTACTTTTTAAAATCCTTATAGAAGATACTCAATGAGTTTATTAATTTAATATTTGTCTCTGTTAGAGGTTTGAATGATGTAGCTGTCATTTCAGAAGTGTGATGGACAAAATGTCAAGTTTAATACCAGTTTATTCTATTCTTTTCTAATAGTTTTTACCCAATCCATATTTTATGAAGAGAATGATCTGAGTAGCATGTCAAAGTAAGCTGACACTATATCAGTAATACTATAGCAGGGAAAAAACATTTAGTATGAATTAATTTAATGTTAACGTATAAGGGAATTTTATTACTTTATTCTTTTTGACTGGTTTGTCAACAAGATATACAAACATACAACAAAACTGAAGTCAAAATTATTAACTTTCCTTTGAATATTTTTTTTCTTTTAAAAATATTTTTCAAAAGATGCACAACAGAGCAAGTATTTTTTCACAGCATTTCCTATAATATTTTTTTCCATTGAAGAAAGTTTGTAAATGCAATCATTAATCATACTTAAATATATATCCAAATGCAAGTACACTGAAAAAAATATTCAAAGATGATTCCTTAGATTTAATTTTTAAGTTAATTTTTTAAAGAGTTTAAACAAACAAATTAAGTTGAACATCAATACACTTAATTTGATTGTTTAAATTCAACACACATAACTTGTTTGCAACAATTTTTTAGTGTATGTAATTTTCAGAAACCGCTGTGAGCAACTTCCGTCAACTCTTTTTTGAAAACTTGGGCTAAACAGACATCTAGTGGTAAAACAAAAGTATTACATTTGATTATTTTCTCCCCTTCCACAAGATAGCACATCCTCTACTTATATTCTTTGGATTTTAAATGCATTAAATGTTTTTTTTTATATGCATATTATATATAGATTGTCTAACTCATGAAAACTTATTCACAAACAACATTGTAAAATAAACTAGCCAGCTTCTTAATTATGAAAATGTTTTCCCCCAGAATGGTTACACACACACACACACACACACACACACACACACACACACACACACACACACACACACACACACACACACACACACACACACACACACATTATATATTTTGTTCATTTAATTTTACTTAATGCCACTAATAGGAGAATGTTCTCTGAAAGTTTAAATGGTGTGTGTTTATGTGTGAGGATATATGAGGCATATTTCACTTTTTATTGTCATTTACTGTGACTGTCAGGGTCTATCGGCATATTAAAATATTAATACACATATTATGTCTTTATTATTAAGTGTATCTTGTTATATCTGCTCTTTATCATGCAGAATAATGCTTCTAAGCTATTCTAAAACCTCTGTAAACCATTGCTTCTTAGGGTTACAGGCTATTGCATATGTGTGATAAAATATTTGGCTTGGGTGTCCAATCTTGTTTGCTGTCCTTAGGTCACTCGCTTTGGACTGGATGCATTGATGAATTCACCGCTTCCAGCCCTTCGGTAATCTTTGCAAGTATTAGAGTTCAGTGGCTCATCTCATTTCCTCCCCTCACTCTGAGCCAAAAGGTTACAGTGGGATGATTTTCAATGTTGAGCAATAAATCTCAGTGTTGTTTGGTTGTTCTGGGATTTGACGCCAGGTTTGGCTTCATCCTTTCATTAGTTTACACCTTGATTAAATCAAATAATATTAATTTAGTTTGTCAAGATCCCCACACTGCTTCTGCAGGCAATAATTGTGAATTTTCAAGAGTTTCTCGTTTTCACATGCAAACAAGTTAATTATGCACTAAACTGCTTAAAAAACAATAAGTTAACAATGTTATTTATTTTCAAATGTCGTGCTCTCAATTCGCAGTTCATGAGTAATATCTGCAAAACCCACTCATTCTTTTTTTTTTTTAATGTAAACCAAACCTTATTTATTTTTATTTATTTATTTTTTTATAGGTGTTTAACAAAACAATACATTACAGTATACAATACAACATAGAAAAACTTACAGATTGTCTTATTTTTCTTTTTTCCCACTATCCCCTCAAAATAAAATTAATTAAATCTATGAATTATAAACAAACATATCTTCTGAAAGAAAAAAATTAACCAATAATAATAAATTAATAAATTAAAAAAAAAAACGTTAAATTAAAATAAATTCTTTAAAATAATAATAATAATAAATGAGCAAGTTTACAATAAGAGCAAAAAATAAAAATTAAAAATTTGAAAAGTTCACATTAAGGAGTCAATATTTCCTCTTGCCAATTAATTCTGACATCAACTGAACAGGGTAAGCCTTTGATATAGTCTAAACAGGGTTCCAGGTCTTGTAAAAAGATTTGAGAGATCCTGCAAGTAAACATCTTAAATTCTCAAGTTTTATGTAACTAAAGATTTCTCGGATCCACGTGTTATGTGATGAATTACCTGTTTTCAAATGATAAGAATGCCTCATCTAGCTTAAAGAGTGGAAAAAGCAATAACCTGGCAAGATGCAACAGTCAAGTCAACTCTCTCAAGGGGTCAAGGGGTTAGGGTCTAGATTTATGTTAATAGATTTATTAATGTGTCAAAAACACTGGACCAGAAATATCTCAATTCAAAACCCACTTATTCTTAAAAAACTAATTTTACAAAAATATTTAAAATTATATTTGTAGTTTGGGGCAAAGCAGTGGCGCAGTAGTTAGTGCTGTCGCCTCACAGCAAGAAGGTCGCTGGGTCACTGGTTCGAGCCTCGGCTCAGTTGGCGTTTCTGTGAGGAGTTTGCATGTTCTTCCTGCGTTCGTGTGGGTTTCCTCTGGGTGCTCCGGTTTCCCCCACAGTCCAAAGACATGCGTACAGGTGAATTGGGTGGGCTAAATTGTCTGTAGTGTGTGTGCATGTGAATGTGTGTGTGGATGTTTCCCAGAGATGGGTTGTGGCTGGAAGGGCATCCGCTGCGTAAAAAAATGCTGGATAAGTTGGCGGTAAATTCCGCTGTGGTGACCCCGGATTAATAAAGGGATATCACACGGGACAGCTTTCTGAAATTAATCATTTTCTCTGCCGTCCTGTGAGATTGAGCTCAAACCTGAGGAGAGCGTCAGCCAGCCATCTCTCAGCAAGTGTTTACGCTTTCACGGGTCTTGACATGTTGATTGTTTCTTAACCATGTCAATATATTTTTATGACTCAGCATCCCATAATCACCAACAGATTAATCAGGAGCTTCAACAAGTGATTATGGGCTGTATTTGATGTGGGCATGATGGTATAAACAGTGCAAATATATTCTACTTTTCATTTTATTACAGATTTACTTACATATTTGTTCATTTACACTCACCTATCCTTAAAATGTTTATCCATTGCTTATAAAGGTATTTCATTGATTGTTGCATTTTTAGTAAAGTAATAGTCTATAAATTATTTCTTTCCTTTGATTTAATAGCAAAATACATTAATATATTTAAGTTGTCAAGAATGATACAACATTTAAAAAAAAAAGTTTCAATTGCAGTTCTTGATTTAAAGCACAAATGCACTAAAAAAATGTTGCAACCAATTTATATGGGTTAAATTTAAACAAATACATTTAGTAATGCTCAACTTAATTTGTTTGTTTAAAATTCAGCCCAAATAAATTTTTTACCATCTCATAAAATAAAAAAATGAGTAAGTCCAAGGAATCATCTTTAAATCATTTTTTCAATCCTGATTACAAGTACATAGACTCACAAAATGTTAGATTTATAAAGATTTTTAAAAAACGTATTGCAAATCTCTTTGAAATGCTTTTAAAGTAACTTATTCCATAAAAATGCCCTACAATATTAAAAGACCAAATATGATACAGTTTTAAAATGAATCCATAATGTTCTTATAGACATATAGACTATAGATTCATTTATAGAAAGACATATAGATTCATAAATTGCTGATCATTTACTGTTTACTAAGCCAAGGGATTTGGATTAATCTGATGTTCCTAACTAAAATACATTGTCATTTTAAATATTCTTATATTAAGCATTTATAACACATGACTAATATCACTTCATATAAGGTTATACAGCAGTTGGCCTATTTGAGGGAGTAATTTTCTGGAAATAGAATGAGTTTGCTTGTAAATTATTTTAGTGCATTGATTTTTTTTTACTGCAAAACAGTATATTACTGGCACTTCTGCTGTAAGTATTTTACTATTCATTTACAGTTTTTTTTAATAGTGAAAAGTGCATTAAAGTGAGAATGCTGCGTTATTAATAATAGTACACAACATATTCATTTTTAAGTAATTCAAATGGAATTAGAATTAAATGACAAGTGTTTGGACTAATAACATAGCTATTTTTAAACCCCATGGATTATTTTAAGGGCAAATCTATCTAGCCTTCAAACTAAAAGGCAATTACCTATTTGAATGAAACAGCCAAGATTATTTTCTTAATTCTCCTGTAATGTTTTTCTTCTCCTGTTCCTTGCAGTAACTTTATTAAATTAAGTGGCTACAAGTTTTATAAAGACCTGAAGGGTTTAAAAATGCACTGTGCAGAAATCCACTTTTCCTTAAGTGCTACCAGTGACTTCTCACTTCATTGAATTTGCCCTGTACTTTAAATGGCTTGCACTATTAAGAACAGCGTGACTGTGATAAATTCATCCATCCACACAAGATACTAGAACAAAAAAAGCCTTTTATAGATTAACTTTTACAATGCTAAATTTAGCACACAAAAAAAAACATCGCATTGCATTTTTTTCTCTGCATTTTAACTTTTCAATGGATTTTATTGTTTATTTAATTGGATTTTAGGTGAATCTCAAACATGGATGACTTAAAATTTCTCAATCTGATCCCATGCCTGTATAAGCAGAGATATAAATGTACAATAATATACTATATTAGGAAAAATATGCAGTAATATAAGTTTTATAAATTTATTGGAAA